CAAATCATTGTCTGCATTTTATTTCATCCAAGGAATGCACGCTGAACGTTTTTTATGTCATTTTTTTCATGAATTTTTCTTTCGATCGGTAGCAACCAGTTCCAAGCCGTAACGAGTTTATGCCTGTTTGTTTTCACCAACAATAACAGCACTAATAATATCACAGATACGCATTCATTTTTTATTCTTCAACGTCTTCCTCTCTTTGCTTACAACTGACGATATCAGTGTGCGAATTGATCGACCTTTATGAATTTTATTTGAGTTGAAGTTTTAACAGTCCAGAGAAACCATTGCAGTTCTCTCAGTGGTCACTATATTGACCGTGAGAAGCGATTACCTTGCGATCTGTCCTAGCTCTCTTTGTGGGCGCAGATTATCTTGCCCAACTTACCTTGCGACCTGTCTTTGCTCTCTATGTGGGAGAGTAGCCCAAAACCTCTGTGCTTGCCAGATCAATGATCCAAGTTCGAAATTCATGAAGACAGATGATTCCCAACGTTNGAAGAATGCCAACGAAGGAAGAATGTGATATTAATGATATTGGTGATAGCAGAGAGGCATAAACTCGTTATGAGTTGAATTGCTGATTAAATAAATGTGGGCGCAGATCAACCGATCCCAATGCTACACTCTATGTTGCGCGGACCTTTTGCATTTCCGACCAAATGGTTCATGCCGTCTCATTCGTGGTCTGTCCATTCGTGATCGTGAGAAGCTTATGTTTGAATGTCTTAAATGTTTGAGGTGATTCTAATGTTGAAAACTTTCTTGAAAATCGCAGTTTATCTGCAGCTCTGCTTGAACGATGTAGTTTGTTTATTTGCGTTGTTTCGCCGAATATTAATTGGCCTGAATATTTGATAGGCGACAGGTTTCATTGTCCTGTCTCATTGTTAATTTATCTTACAATCAAATTACTTAAAGTCTAGAGCAAATATCCACACGCTCGGGTGCTCCATTATACTCTTCGATGGTCTGGCAGTCCGTCATTACATCTCCCCCCGATCAACCCATCAGCACGATGTCTGAGATTTTTGACATGCTGAAAAGGCGCTCGCCGTAGCCAAACTATGAGATATTTCCGTTCATTCATGTGCGAGCGATAATGTGTCTTCGTTGAGAAACGCACTGATTCTAAAGCGAGAAATCTGGTGACTTCATATGGGATTGCGATGGAAATGTAGAACGCCAAAGTACGACTGAGTACATGGAAAGGATATGTTTGGTGTATGAAGCGATTTGTTGATTTATTCCTGCAGATGATCCATGAGAATGCTTTGAAGTGACGGCACGAAACAGCTTTGATGAATTCCTTCGAGTGATTGGATTTTGTGGTCATTTTTCAACGTTTACCAATCGCAAATATTTTCTGTTTTTTTTGAAATGTTATCTTCTTCATTCGTTTGTGTATCCATATATCTTCAGTTTTTTCTTTATTCAGTACGTATTGTTGCAAGGGAGCCTTCTAGAAATGTCCTACATACTTGTTGTTTTATGCCAAGCTAAGCATTTAAGCATTTTATAAGCGTTTGCCCTATGGATATGGCTGGCTTCTCATTCGTTTGATATATATTCCATTTGCGCAGTGTTTCGTTTAAATATGATGGCTCACAGAGCATTGTTAATCCGTGAAAGTTGAGTGGGTAAATTGATATTGAGAAATTTGGATAGTACGAAAATTCCGCGAATGTGCTTATTGTGCTTCAATCGGTTGTCTGCGATGAAAACTGCTGTAACCGTATCGAGCGAAAGTTATGCGGGTTTCGAGAATTGTTCATTTCTCATTGATCGCCATTGAAGTGGATCGTTTCAGTGCGCATCGTTGAACGCACAATGTTATTGTTGAATCTTATTTGGGCTGTTCTCGTTCTGATTCTATTATTTTCGATCTCTTTTGGTACATATTGCCTGTTGTTTCGATCGGACAGCACGCAAAAATCATCACGAAATGGGTATGTTGATTGTTGGTACGAAGTTATTTATCTGATTTGCGCGTTTACCCAGTTATTTGGATGGAATCAGCATCCTTGTTCATTGCATAGTCGTCACTTTTCCCTTGCGTTAAAGATTTGCAAACTGTGGCATACAAGAGATACTTGTCAAAGGAATAATTGATATTTAGACCTTGCCAACACCTTACCCAATTCACAAGCATGTTTCTAATTTTGATCACGCTCATTGTCGTAAACTTTTTGATCGTCTAATGCAACTAACAAGCTGTAGAGGGTAATGTTAGACAGAAGTCGTTTTTGGTTGCACTCCATTGGTGAGATTAGTCGTTGGAAGACAAAAGTTTCCAAACAATTATGTGAGTTATCATGAAACTTAGTGAAACAGTCATTATTTCAGTCGATCCAGTAATGCGATATCATTATGCAATTGTTTTGCATGTGGTGTTTTCCTGTCGACTTGTTTCATTGGTTTGATACCACATTTGCGAGAACATGAGGCGAAGTTAAGGCAGCTATGGTCACTGGATTCAAGTGATACCAGTAATAATAATAATAATAATAATAATAATAATAATAATAATCAGAAGCATGTGGCAAGTATACTAATAAAAAGTGAACTGATTGTACTGTGTGGATTTCTTTTCATCTTGCTTCTTGAACAGGTGAGGTGGTATTTCTGTGAGCGGCTTTAGTAACTTCGAGATTTTGAACGATCTTCTACCATTTTTGTTTTTTGTCTAATATTTCATTCTGTGTTGATCAGATACAATACTGTAAGTTTGCATGTTTCCTTTATCAGTATTTTTTTTTTGATTTCGGTTCCATTCTAGATATTCCACTCGTTCCAATCCCGTTCGGCTGCCAACTCCCATGCCGATTGCTCGGGCCGTTTCGCAAATTTAAGTCGTCAGTCACAGTATCTGCAAAATGGCCACAAAACAAATCCTCAGTCTAGTAGCAAACAAACGAATTGTGCGTCTTATAAAGATGCGGGTGGACGACACCAAAAAGTGGCACCGAATTCGTTGGCCACATCGACGTTGCTGTCGTTTGAAGGCGATCAGGAGCCGCTGGTGTCGAATCGTTTCGACTGTTCAGATGGCGATGATTTGGAGGAGAATCAGGAGCGAGAGCCGTTTGTCGGTGTTGACAGTGGGAGGATTGCTGCCGAGTCGACGGGCAGCCCAAAGATTGAATTCCGTCGGGTGGTTGATGAGTACGGTGATGGTGATAGCGATATTGTAGGTTTTTGCTTGATCTTGGTTGTTTTGGGTATTTCTGTTGGTAATATGAAAAGAAATGATCAGATGAAGAACGATTTATGCAGTGTTTGCTAAATCTCGGTCTTTTTTCAATCCGGAAATAATGCTGGGACTGAAAAACTGTCATGGATGGAAGTTGCCGCGACTAGCGCGAAAAGCCAGCATTCAATGATGATAGTCCTTAAAAAAGATAGTACTTAAATCAAATAGAAATGGTTGAGCAAATGACGGATAGTGTAGTGGTGTAACGATGCTGGGCTTTAACGATCCGACGATCTGTTCAGAGGGCGTGAGTTCGATTCAGAACACGTCGGTCCAAAATCTTTGACAAAGTTTGATCTCATTCAAGAGATAATCAGGAGGGCTTAGTTGCGACAGAAGTCAAAGCTAAAGTAATGACGACGGAAAAGCAACAGTGATGATATAATGAGATTTTGGTTCACTGCGTTCTGAATGACGAGAGCAGAGATGGCGCTGTTATGTGCGGATTTATCCTTTTATTGACAACTGGATGATGCACCGCGTATATGGCTGAATACAAATGAGTTGGGAATGATGGATGTGTGATTCCAGAAGAATATATATTAGCAGAATTATATAAAATGTCATATTTTATCAAGTGTTGCGATTTGGACAATGAAATTCCCCGGATCAGAGTTCATTAGTCGAGATATGGTTATCCCATACAAGCACTAGTCTTATTCAATGGTGGATCTCCCGGTTTCAGCATGGATATGGCGTGAGCACTTCAGACGAATGTGGCGGAGGGCATTCCCATCTGAACTTCTTGACAACGTCAAACAAGAAGTTGAATTTTTCATCGTGTCTCCTACTGGTCGGACTGAGTACGCATTCAGTGTTCGAAGGAATCGCGTTGGGTGTACAAGTAATTTTCTTGTTCACTTCTGATTTTCTCCGAAATGTTTTGAGTTGCCGAAAGCTGCCGGATGGATTACTTTTACGTAAAATCCATCAATCGTCAATCAGAATGCGAAAAGCGACTTAAAACCGATAAAAGCGACGACTTAAAACATTCACACTTCGCAAAGTATGCGTATTCGATTCTGCACGGATCTTCTAATTTTCGGATAAATTCTGGAAATTTTAAGGCGGAAAACAAATGTGGACTACTCAAAATTGATTACAACATCGATCACAAGATGTATTTTATTCGCACGTATGTGTTGTGAACGAGTGCGATGACACCAAAAAAAACGACGTTTCAGACGAATCGATCGGATTTTTATGCGTTGTTACTCGCAATAATGCTTCACGAAGTGCTCTGCTCATTTGCGTTCGGCATAAATTTAGTGAAGCAACGAACACCGTTTATCACAGCTCTACTGGCCACCTTNTCAAAAAAACTTTCGTGGCAGCTTTCGAACGGGTGCATCACTGACGAAAGCACCATTGCTTATCCGAAGCCTGAGCTGAGCTTAAATCTGGCTTCCAGCAGCAACTAATGACTTAGGCGATACCCTAAGAAAGCTTCAGCTTGTTCGATTTCAAATATAATCGAACATCATTCAGTGATTGAATTTTAGCATCACTTTTGGGAGGGTAGAGGGTAAAGCCTCAGGTTTTGAAAGAGGTATTTTTGTGAGTGAAGTTTTTTCCTGAGTACACGCTTTTGGCGAAGTTCGTGAAGCACCTAAAGTTATCCCTGCCCAAGGAGTTCAAAAAATTGTGCAAATGAAATCAGGCACAAGCCTCCACCTATGCCTACCTGTTTTCGGTGGTTTTTCGCTGACCGATCTCATTGGCCTATATTGGATACATATGTGTCTGGGCTAACTGAGGCTTACGGCACTATCCATTCTTACGGCAGTCAAATCACGTCCACTATTGAGCCACATCGTTCTTTAATGATATCATTGAAGACACCACCATCAGACCCGGTAGAACCCGGTGTGATTGCAGTCGATAACTCAGCCGGATTTTGATCATTGCGTTGATCCATAGTGTGATACTCGGTGAATTAACCCGATCATCTTCAGTTGATAAGCGTTCCGTCTTTCAGGTGAATTCACTGGACTCGCAGTTCTCTCTGCTGATTCGTTTTGTACTGGAAGGTTTAGCGGCTGGAACCTTCATATATGTGGCATGTGTGCAGATGTTGAGCGCAGAATTGAGTGCAAATCATGCACATTCTCACCAACCGCAATCTGCAAAGTGTCGCGATAGCTTTGCGCTCGATGAGAGGCACTCGCCGCATCCACAAACCGATATGCATATTCGAAAAGCATTGGCCGTTATCATGGGTGTTTGTGTGTTCTTTGTCCTAAGCGTTGTTTTTGGACGGCACCATGCAATGGCTAGCATCAATAAGCATAGTGGTTTAAGTACAAATAGTCACTGACAATATAACCGAACCAAAAAAGGCCCGGTCAAATTGGGAAGTTTTCAGTGTGATCGAAGTCGATTGGAATCTAACCGAAACATGCATGGGCCGGAATCTGAACGAAATCAGATCGAATTCATTTTGTATTATTCAAAATTTGTTTGTACTGAACCAATTCCAAGTCCATCGATCGGAAGTTTCCAATTACCAGCTAAGAATAGGCCAGTTTTTAAAATTAGTGGAAACTGAAAATACTTTCGTATGTGGGAAGCGAACCATCTGAAATCGAGTCGTCAGAGGGAATGTTTTGTTCTGATTGTTCTTATTTTCCTGGATCATTCGTAGATTAGCCGCTTGTCGACGCTGAATCGTTTGAGGCGCCTGTCATTGTTGTTTCACTGAAGATCAATGAACAGAACAGCCATTGTCGGTCTTATTGTGTACATAAATTCTACTCATTCGAGTAGAATTTCCATTAAAGCCTTAGAGAAAAGGTCCGCTTCCCTTGAAAAAACAATGAAGCCAGTGCTAACAATAAGAGAAAACAGCTATATTCTTGCTAGCGATGCTCTTGCTTTGAAACATTCCATAGTAGTTGTTTTGTTCGCTTTTTTATTGTTTTGATCAGCGCTCCTCAATCATGCCCTAGTACTCACCAACGAACTAGTGAATTTGTCGCTTATAGACTGGGGTCACACTTGATTTTTCCAGGAAAATTTATTCTCGTACCTGTCGTCTTCTGAAAGAGTTTCATGCATACAGACCTTCCAATACTAGACACTATTTCGCCAGTCCCCAGTGTCGCGACTAGCGCGAAAAGCTAGCATAAAATGATGATACTACTCAAAGATAGTACTTAAGTCAAATAGA